AGATGTTAGTACTCTGTTATTACGCTTCAATAATTTTGAGTCAGTTTAACTTTTTAGTTGAATTTGGAGACGTGTTCTGTCGGACATTAGCATTTGTAGCAGTCTGAGCTGTTGACCCATCACTTGAACACATTTAGACGTGTTTAATATAAAAATCCTCTTTTTTGAGAAGCTGTGCGAGTGGAACGAGGATAAAGAGCAGCCAGGTGCTGCTGGTGCACTCGATTCATCTGCAGAGGTTTTGACAGTTTGGAACAATGTTTGGATAGATGAGGCCAAACTGGAGATGTTTAAAGCATCAGATGATACTTGTTCAAATGTTCTGCAGTCAGATATGAGCCATGCAACAGGACAATGATCCTTAGCAGAGAAGCAGCACTGTGGCAGGACCTGAGAGCTGCACACAGCGGCTCACAAACCTCAAAGAACTGAAGTTTTTCACTGCAGAGTCTTTATTTTCCACATGAGCGTGTAATACGAGCACAAAGGAAGCAGAATAGGTGGGCTTCAATATTATCACCGATGATGATGATGATGATGGTGTGATTATTATATTTAAGGAGCGTAATAACTGACAGTTTAACTACTGAGAGAGCAGTTTGGATTGCTAGCTCTGTAGCATGTTTGATGCATGTTTGCATCAAACACGGGAAACTTGCAGCAGCTTTAGTCAACAAACCGCAGCTAGCTAGAGAAGAGCACGATAGATTTGCTGATAAATCAGAGTGGGGCCTCAGAGGGAACCACAGAGTGCATATAACGGATGCAGCCACCATGATTACTAGTGTTGTTTTGTGGCTTTGCATGTTTAACATGAAGCACTGACTCAGAAAGGTTTTGACGTACAACTGTGATGTTTAGGTTTTTTGGGGCGGGGCTCTGTGTTGGATTCACTTCCTGCCTGTAGTTTCTACGTGGAGTGAAAAACATGGATCCTGCGTTGCACTAAAACTCCACCTTCTGCCTGCTTACAGACGCTGCAGAAAAGCAGCGCCCGGGGCGAGTGCTACGTGGTGGACTCGGAGGTCATCACCTCAGGCATCCCATACCAGGACTACTTCTACACCGTCCACAGATACTGCCTCACCTCCATCAACAAACACAAGAGCCGACTCAGGTTTGTGCGCTCGTGGAGGTCGCCCGGCTTACTCTTCACGCTCACACGGTGTCACTTAGAGCCACGGCCGAGCGAACAAATGAAGAACTGAAAAAACACTCGAGTTTATTTATGCATCAGCCTGCACACTATCAGACGGGCTCCACTGAAAACACTGTTGCACTCGGCGCTGCTTTACTTGATGATACTGTGACTGATAACGATCGTGATTAGATAATAATCCAATCGAGTACACTTCACTTTGTAAATTCATAACTTAAAAGCAACGGGCAAGTCGCAGAATATCCAGTTTAAAAAAATAAAATAAAAGCAGTTATTAAAGGAAATAAGATTTCAACAGAGCTCTGCGCCGTCTGTCCGTCCCTGATAAATGAGGACATCCAAACACGACAACATGAGCTGAGCAGGTCGACAAACACGACAGCAGACGAGCAGTAGAAGTCATGATTACATAAGTGGCTACAGGCTAATATTCTGTTAGCTTCCATCAGAATCAGTCCTTATTATGAAAATGCTGTTAGAGTAATAAGCAGCTGACTCGGCTGACGTACCGGAGACGCTGCTTAGCACGGCTAAAATGAACCACAGGACGGAGTTTGCAGCCCGTAGGTGAAGCCACCGTGACATCATCACCCACTGGTGTCGAATGCTGTCAGTCAGATAATCCGTTAAAGAGCTCAAAGAGGCACCACCAGCACACGGTGAAGCGCGAGGTCCACTTTAATGATTAAAAGCAGTGGAAAAGCTCCAAAAGTCTGACAACACAGACGGACCGAAGCCTCGTCAGGCCGGCTGTTTTCACCAAAGTCTTAATACACATTTTATTTTTTAATAAAATAATAATATTTTGTTTAATTTCTGCTCAGCCTGTGAGCATGACTGTGATAGAGATGGCACTGCACGTGTCTGAAGTCTCGACTGTAGCATTCCCAGACTGAAGAGCATTCTTCAGCATTTTCCACCAAAAGCAGCAGACGGTAGTTTCTCAATAGACCGTTACGCAACACGGCCTGAAGACAGCTTCGCTGAAGTAAGAGCGGTGGCTCTCCTGTTCCCAGTTATCTTCATCTCTAGCCCAAATGCAGCCAAGTTCATTCTGCTTTAGGCTGTAAATACTCCTGGTAGTCGCTTTCTGTCTGATTACATGAACCTAAATATGAGATGTCGGTTGTTTTGACAGATGTCTTTCCCAAGAAATTGTGTGAGAAGTTCCCACCTGGAGAGCAGTAACACTAAATATGCTCTCTGGATCATTCATAACCAACTTCAAGCCTTAATATTCTGACATCGAAGTTTGACGTCTGTGACGTAGAGTAACAGGAACATGCGTGGGTACCTGCATGTTTCGTCCATTTTCTGCCAATGCTCTTTAAAAAAAAGCATTCTGGGTGAAAATATCGAATCATATCACCATGGTTTATAGGTTTGTACTTTTAAACATATACACAAAGCCACACTTTGTCATTTAACCTGAAAACGGTATCAAAATCGCCCCTATTTTTGATTTTTAATATCCTCCCAATTCAGAGCTCGACTCTTTAGTCATAGTTGTACTTCCATAATTCTCTGAACTTGATGCAGTTCTTTGGTAGACTGAAACATGCTAGCTTGCTAATTTTGTGAAATGCTCTTATACGAACGGAAGTTTGAGTTTGAGTTTATCAGATCAGACTGTAGAAAATGTAAGAGGCCCTATGTGAAGTTACCAACTGAGAAAAGTCCTGATTAACACCAAAGTGATGCAGCGCAGGTTCAACTAAAGACTTTTTCTTTCCAGAGAATAAAAGTGATGCTTAAAAATGTTGTGCATGCTTTAAAAGCTCCTTTGCGTCTCCTCTGGCAGAGTTTCCTCAGACATCTGCTACAGGAAGCAGCCGTGGAGCCTGGTGAAGGCGCTGATCGAAAAAAACACCTGGAGCGGCATCGAAGAGTACTACAAACACATGGGTGAGTCAGGGCAGCCGAGCCGCCGCGTTCAACAGAGGCTGAGAGAGACAAACAGGAAATGCTTCATTTAAAAGAAAAAAGGATGCTTCCTGCTGCAGATCAGAGAGATGGAGGATTGATGTGGTTTGTAATGTGACCGCGAGCTGTTTATCTACAACTTCAGGTTCTTTGAACAGAGAAAGCTTTGAGAGCTGATAGTGTTTGATAGTTTGCTCTAAATATAAGTTCACTGTGTTCAGTGTGGTGCAGTGTGAGACAACAGAAGCAAAGTGCATTACATTTATATTCAGATGTCTCAAATGTCAACAAATCTTTAGGTAATCCATTTCATGTAGGCCCTGTTTACCTGCGTCCACGCAGCCCCCTGGGGGCCTGTGATGGTACTGCAAAGAGACCACGAGCAGTCAATTATATTCTTAAGTCTAATTTAAATAAAGAAAAAGGAAAAAAAATCTAATTTCTTGCATTAAAAAGTGTGAAGATGATGCAAGGAGCAGAGATGTTGAAGGTAGAAGCTGTGACGAAGAGGGTGGAGTGGGCGGAGATGAGCGTCAGGAGTGATTTGTGACAGGATGGCAGGAAGAGAGAAAGGGAAGTTTTGTGAGTCAAAGGAGGTTGCAAAGAAAAGCGTCTGGACTTCTTTAAGTTTCTTGAAGACGTTTCACCTCTCATCCGAGAAGCTTCTTCAGTTCTGAAGAACTGAAGATGAAACGTCTTCAAGTAACTTAAAGAAGTCCAGACGCTTTTCTTTGCAAGCTCCTTTGACTACGATGACCTGGATGACTGAGAACCTTCACAGACGAAGTTTTGTGAGATGACAGTGGGACGGCTGTGATGTATGGTTGGGAGACGTGGCACTGACAGGGACTGGAGGCGGAGCTTGAGGAAAAGGGGAGGAGACTCCTGCAGTGACTCCAAAACCAAATGTTATTTCAGGTTTTATGGTTTTGAATTTAAATATTTACATTTTCTAAAGAAGCTGAACTGATGAGGAAGCTTCACTAGAACTAAACCTGATCTTGAGTCTGAGCTGCAGCTCTGTTAATAACGATAAATGTCTTAATATGGAGAATAAAACTGTTGACGGGGAATTAAATTACGTGAATCGTTAGAAGCTGAATGAGTTATCATAATATCACTGTAATGATATTATGATAACTCGTTTTCTGCTTGTGCGCTGAGTGTAGTGGATGTTTAGGTGGGCCTCACGCTGTCCACAGATAAACAAGACATGGGCGCTGACAGAGAGCATATCAGATATCAGAGCTTACATTCTGTCACGCCGTCACAAGCTCCGGCCTGTAATCAGGCAGACGTACACATTTTTCTGTACGTGTCTGGTCGCGGTCGTCTCCGGAGCTTTTAAAGAAATTGCCTGGACAGACACGGCGCTGCCAGTCGTCTCACTTTCCAAGGTTTCAAATATAGTTTTTATTTTGGATAACGTTCTTGAAACTGCATCAAATTTGAACTTGGCCGGACTCGGGGCGTGACACCTCATGGAGGTATTTTCCTTCCATTCTGGGTTTTAAATCTCTTCTTTTAAATCTCACGCAGAGAGCGAGGTGTGCAAGCTGGAGACACTCCTGCAGACTGAGGTTACCGTGGTGACCACAGGCGAAGCGGTGGGAACCGACGCCGCCAAGACCCCGCCGGGCTTGCGCCGCAGGAAACGCGCGTGCTCGCGGCGGCAGGGCGAGAGGGAGCGAGAGAGGGAAGGAGGAGGAGCGGGTGCTGGAGACCGAGGGGACAGAGGAGTGGGAGAGGAGAGGGACGCGAGAGAAGCCGGTAAGTCCGCCCGGATACAGACGCAACCGGCGAATCCTGCCTCTGTGCAGTAACGCCCTCTGGTGGTTGTGTTTGGTTTTACAACCTCATTGATTTCTAATTGATTCAGTAACAAAGTGTTCACTGTTGTGTCCTTTAGGCTCTCAGTTTATGAAGCTGGGGGAGCGATCGCGTGGCGGCGGGCACAACAGCATATCCACCATCCTCCTCATCGTCAGCTTCATGTAAGTGTTTGTGGAGTCGAGCGTGTGGGTGGATCTGTGGGTGAGCGTCGCTCTGTCTGTCCAGCATGTGTGGTCTTATTTAATCAGCGGCAGCGGAGACAGAGTTGTACCGTTGCACGGCGGCGTCAGGACCGGTGCACGACGTGCGCTTCCTATACTGTGAGCTGATCACACCCCTGCTTTGATTGTATGTCTCTGGTTAAACTAGCTCGCTGCTGCTCAGTGCGCTGCTGAACGTTGCTCATTCAGACACTTTGGAAATCGATCCTTCTGCTTACTAACGGCCTCACGATGCCTTTCTCGCCATCTCTCTTTTTCCCTCCTTTCTGCATTACTTCTTGTGCGTAGGATCTGTATCAGGTTCGTATGAGAGGCTTTAAACGTTACACCACTGGCTGTTTAAATATGACCTCTGAGCACAAACGTACAGGGAAAATCCACCGTTCAGGCTAAACGTGAAGCAAATTCAAATGAAATGTGATAAACGAGGTTCATTTCTCTTCGGTCTAAAAGCACAGCTGCTGATTATTTTAAGCTGCTCTCATAAACGTACGATTATCTGTCCCCAAAGAGGAGGATTATTTAAACGAGGATTCATAACCAGATTTTAAGTCATATAAAAAGAAAAAGATGAAATCTGTCTGAAGGAATGTGACACCACATTATATTAGATCATTTTGGGGCCTTTTAGCCTTGATTGGATAGAGACGAAGCCGTCGCCCTCAAGTCTGATTTATTTGTAAAATAAGACGTTTTAAACTGAGGTCGGTGCAACAAAGTTACAAAATTAGAATCAATCAAATAATTGTTTCAGAAGTTTTTAATCCAAACCTGCTGGTCATACGTCCTCAGCATGTTTGACACACATGTACACGTGCTGCAGTGAGACCAGCTTAAAGGCCACCGTCTGTGTCGTTTGTATCGTTGCTGGGATGAATTCTAGTTAAAGGTTTCCAGTAAGACAGAAAATTGAACAAAAATGAAAAAAAGCCTTAAAATTAAAAAACTGTGTGTGTTAGCTGACGGTGGATTCTTCCTGTAACAGCTCAGACTCGAACAAACCCACAAATATTTGTGTTCTTTTGTTCTTTGGTTTTTCGACCTCCCTGCTGTCCGTGTGGTTCAGTGTGAAACATTTTCAGATTGCGGTTGGCGCCGAGTGACTCTGACCTCTGTGCGCTCTCTGTCTGTCCCCGTCAGCCTGGTGGTGCTGGTGGCGCTCAACATGCTGCTGTTCTACAAGCTGTACGCTCTGGAAAGAGCCGCACATACACTGGAGACGTGGCACTCCTACTCTGTTGCTGACAGGTAAAAGACACCGCCCTGTTTTCCTTAAACACACACACACACAGACACACGTTCCTCTGGGAAGGACAATTGGTGTTTGGTGTGAGTTGCTCCTGTGGGGGACCACAGCTCTGTTACTGCATAGCAACAGATCAGAACAAGAAGTTTTAAAAGGGGTTAAATCAGTAAAAATAGGACGAGGATCATTTAAATAATAAAAAAATATCTATTTCACACAAAATGAACCAAAAACTGGCTTTCAGCAGGAAGGAAGTCCCGTCTTGTCTTATTCTCTGTGACGCAGGGACTATTTTCTTTCTACCGTCTACATCCGCCAGTTACAGAAGTGTGAAGCGAGCTAACGTTGCAGGTGGACGTCACTGTTTCCATCCCGTGAGGAGCGAAAGGTTTAATCCTCGGGTTTGTGCGGCCGCCTCCTGCACGCTGTGACACGCTCGGTTTGGTTGGAAGAAAATAGTTCCTCCATGAAACCGCTCACGGACGAGTTTGTGGATGTTTTTAATAACCTGCTGAGGTTTCAAACATGTTTCGGTGCTTTGGACGGCACACAGGACAGGAAGTGCACTTTCAAACTAAAAGTTTGAGTTCCTGCTCACACACTAACGCACATGTGTATTGAACCTTCTGACAAGTCTGTGTTTATGAGTTTTCATTTGTATTACTTTTGCTTTTTTGTCTAATTTATTGCTCCGTTTGTTTCTTAGACAAAAACATAAAAGGTGGTCAGCGTTACTAAATCACACTCGTATTAAATGTGATTCACTTTGTGCTGTTGACTCTGGGTTAAAGAGCTCTTCTTCTTCCTCTTGCTTCTCCTTCCTCCTCCTCACCCCTCAGTCCTTTGCCTCAGACAGCTGGGGAGTGGGCTCAGGTCCTGCAGCTGCAGAGGCAGTTTCATCAGGCTCAGCTCAGCAAGTGGCAGCAGATCCTGCAGTCCTCCGTCTCGCTGCTCGACCAGGTTGGCGTCCCGCTTCAGTTTGCGTTGGCGGCTGGCTTCAGCTCACAGATTATAACCCAGCGTGTGCGTCTCTCTGTCTGCAGATGAAGCAGTCTTTAGAGAAGCTCCACCAGGGCATCGTGGTCCCAGAGGTCAAGCAGGACCCCCCTGCTGACGCGGAGTCCCTGACCGAGGCCTGAACCTCGCCTGCTCCGACTGCCCCCCTCCCAACCTCCGAACCCGCAGAGATTCGGATCGTTTCCTGTTTGAACCCCGGTGAGAGAGGACGCCGCTCAGAACTCTTCTCGCCTGACTGACTTGAAACAGCGACGTTCACCTCGAGTGAACTCAGACTGGAAGCTTTCAGGACCACAGCAATAATTTCCCTGCAGCTGCAAGTTGACCGTGTGTGTGTGCGTGTGTGTGTGTGTGCGTGTGTGTGTGTGAGTGTGTGTGAGTGCGTGTGTGCGACGAGGCCACAGGTGGGCCCGTTCAGACCACCCGGTCAGCTGCAATCTCCTTTAATTCAGACCTCGACTATCACAGACCGAACTTCCTCTTCTGACCTGCAACATTTCAGAGGTTCACGATTCGGGAAAGCGGGAACGTCGATCGACTCTCAGCGGACGAGAAAAAAGAGAGGACGAGGAACGCGCTCCCACTTCTCCCGGCTCCGTCAGGGTTTCACGTCTTTTTCAAACTCATTGCGTCCGACTGTTTCCTGGACCATGACAGTATTTATTGTTGCCGCTGACTGTCTCGTCCTGCTCTGAAGAAGTCATGTGATGCCTGTTTCCTGCTCTGATTTGCTGTTTTGTGTGGGCCAAGAGGGGCTCCACAAGAACGATCACTGGCCCCAGCAATAATAGTGATTCATGTTCTGAATGTTTCAAGCTGAGTAGTACATAGAGATACATATATATATATATATATATATGTATAATGGTAATAATGAACCGTGTGTGAGTGTGTGTGCAGCAGAGGACATTTGGAGGTGAGAGACGGCGTTCGTGTTAGTTTGTTTTTGAAGATTTCTCTTTCATGTCGGGTTCAGGTGGAAACTCTCAGGTCTGATCCGTGACGCAGCGACTCCTGTGAGGACCAAGCAGACCTGTGAGGCTCCCGGAGAAGAAAAAAAGGGAATTTTTCTGGCAGTATTGTTTTTCTGTGTGTGTGTTTGTACGATTCATTTTCTTTTTATTCAGTTTTCATCTTCCGTCTTTGATTTTTGTCGTTATTCGTCCTCCCCGCTCACTGGACCTGAAAACATTTCACCCACCCGAGAGCTTCCTCTCTGGTTTTCTTTCCTGCTCTTCCTCACGCTCTCGTTCTCTTTCTCTCTCCATTTCGTTTTGGAAAACGGCGTCTGCTGAAGCACGCGGGCCCTGCTGTGCACGGCCGTGCGTGGGTAACAAAAGGATGTAATATTTATTAAAGGAGGGAGAGAGGGATGAGGAGCAGAGATGGGAATGTACTGTAAAGATGTGATTGTACACCATGCCATGGAGAGAAATGAAAAGCTCTAAACACGCAACAACGCCTCACTTTTCTTTGAGTCTGTGTTTGTCTCCTTTGGCTTAATCCATTTTGGTTCACAAATAAAGTTCCTGCAGTCTTCTCCAACCGAGGAAAACCTCCGTCAGTGCAGGTAGGACATGTTGAAACAGGAAGCAGAGTCTCCAAAGGGTCTCATCTTTCCCCCCCACCATGTCGTCCCATCCCGGGAATATCTGAGCTCCCGTGCTGATGATCGTTGAAACAACAGTGAGGATAAACCAGGCTTTGCTCTACTGTAATGCCTCTTTGCACCACTAGAAGGTGCAGTTAGTCTGTGTGACTTTCACTTAACCGCTTTATTTACAGTGGTGGTGGGGGTGGGCGCAAAAATTTAAAGAAATACAGAAAACTTATCAAGACTAAAGCTGGGGTGCCCTGATGCAGTTCCCTCTCTCGGGATTGCTGACCATGCGCGTCCCTTTATGACCTCAGCGTGCCATCTTCTGATTGGCTTCTCCTGGCATGATAATGCTCAGAAAGCTCAGATCATCTCAGCACCTTTGGGAAAGTTGGAACAGGACTGAGTGCAGCAGCTGTGTGATGTTATCACATGAACATGGTCCAAAATCTCAGATGTTTCCTGCAACTTTCTGAATCTGCGATGTGAAGAATTGAAAGGGGCTCAGATCTGGTGCTAGCAAGGTGTAGCTAATAAATAAAACTACAAAAAGTGCTTCATGTGTCTATGAAATAAAAGGTCTCAGCTGCGAACAGACAACATGAAGTCCAAGGAGCTCTCCATGCAGGTGAAACGAGCCACCTTTAACCTGCCAAAGCAGAAAAAACCCATTAGAGAAATCGCTCCAATATTAGGATTAGCAAAGTCTCAGTTTGGTACACCATGAGACCGAAAGAAAGCACCGAACTCAGCAACGCAAAAAGTCCTGGATGTCCACAGAAGACAGCAGTGGTGGATGATCACAGAATAATTTCCATGGTGAAGAGAAACCCCTTCACAACAGCCAACCAAGTGAACAACACTCGATATCCAAGTCTACCATAGAGAGAAGACTGCATGAAAGTTAATACAGAGGGTTCACTGCAGGGTGCAAGTCACTCATAAGCCTCAAGAATAGAAAGGCTAAAAAAGATTCTTTGGACGGCTGAAACCAAGATCAAGAAAAAAGTCAAGAGAAAACGTGGAACTGCTCATGATCCAGAGCACATCACATCTGTAAAACACGGCAGAGGCTGTGTGATGGTGTGGGCGTGCACGGCTGCCAGTGGCGCTGAG